AATGCTTTAGGAATTAGTTGCTGAACTGTGATTTAATTTCTAAAAACAAAAATCTTGCTTTGTAGCATACAAATGAAGGAGTAGGATATAGGCTTGTTTTATGGAAGCTATGTTGAAGGGCGCAGAGAAGGCTCAGTGAGTGTATTTTTCCAATAAAAAATTCTGTTGCTACTGATGCAGGCAAAGTACACTTGTGCATTAAGTGTCTGATAAATTTCTGTTGAGGTGTTTGCTTGCATGGAGACCAAACCTCTATGCACCTAGTTTTTCTTCACAAGTGTTTGTGCTTTTATGCAGATAATTGAGGAAGAGGTACATCAGGGAGTGGAGTGGTGTAGCTGGTGCTGATTACCTGTTTGTGATTGTGAAGTAAAACCTTGTTGAATTTTTCTCATGAATGAGGTGAGATGGTAGTAAAGCGTGACTTCACGGAACTTGTTTGTTAAATTCTGAAAATATTTCATAATTACTTCCACTATGATCTAATGCAATAAAAATCCACCAAATTAAACCATTAAATGAGTTAATACTAAAGTGGTGCATAATATTATTGCAGAATTTATGAACAGTTAATTATACATAAAATAATTAACTTATGTAACTTTAAACTAACATGGTAAAAATACAAAAGTGACCATGATTTTCACAGGCAGCACAATATGAAGGTATAGTACAGATGTATATCCATTTGAATCTGAAAGTCCCACAATATCTTAACTTGGTCATTTTCTGACACCTGCACTATCTGATGTTCCCACAGATTCTTGGATGCTGGCAGATTATATTTTTTTACACAATGACTAGTGTATTAATTTTGCAATTCTGTTGTGTCTAACTTTGCAGTCTATCTGCACAGTCTTTGAACATTCACAGATGAGGTATGACAAGGTTTCATCTTTTTCTTGGCAGAATCAACATTTGCTATTTACAGTAATTTCTTTAATTTTAGATTTAATGACATACGTTTGGATGATAATGATGATGATGATTATATCCAACAAATAAAAACCATCTGGGGATGCAGTGTAGTGTGCAGCCCTTTGGTCACGGTTCAAGTTAAATTGTTTTTTAGATTTGTAGCAAGTAGCTGAAATATTTTTCATTTTAAGTCAAGTTATATCTCTATCTCTGGTGGTAAAAATGATGAAACTAAGACTCTCATAATCTGAGCACGTCATAAAAGGGTAGGATTTGTTGGGAAAGACAATAATGCTGGGAAAGGTTGAAGGCAGCGGAAAAGAGGAAACCAAAATATGAGATGTATTGACTCCCTAAAGGAAACCACAGACTTAAGTTTACAAGAGCTGAGCAGGGCCGTTGAGAATAGGGCATTTTGGAGATTGCTCATCCATAGGGTTGCAGTAAGTCAGGTGACTTGTCAGCAGGTAATAACAACGAAGTTGTAGTAAAATAGGTCTGTATCAGCCCTCTAAAATTGTATGCTATTGCTACATGACAATGCTGAAAACAATTTTTAGAAACATTTCACTTTTCTACAAAAGATACAAGGGAAAGGGATATGGATGAGAAATAAAACATATAACCTAGTGGCAGCTGTTAAGAGCACTGGTCTACACAACAATGAAGGTTTGACCATGTCTGTTATAGGTATGATTCAGACTTTTATGTAGATGTCAGTGGTAGATAGTTTAGTTTTTTGAAATTATTGGAATTTTAGGATCCCTAACATCAGTTATTTCAGCTTTCATTTTACAGTAAATTTTCGAAAGGAATGTGTTAAACCTAGGGCATGTTTAAATTATTTATTTATTTTATTATTTATTTATTTAATTTATACCCCGCCTATCTGGTCGGTGAGGGAATGAAGAGAAGATGACTATGTCATTCCCTGTCAATCTGATATTTCATTATATAATTTGTACTATATTATAGCCCAGAGAGACTATGTAAGGAAAAACATTTTTAAAACCATTTTCCTGTCTCCTTGCCATAACGATAATGGCCAAATAGACAAAGGAAATAAGCAACAACATTTTCATTCATTTTTATATGCAGGAAGTAAGTGTCAACCGCATGTCCAACAGGATAAGTCCTTAAGACTCGCTATATTTTTAACCTTTAAAACTTTTAGTAATTACAGCTATTGTTAGGGCATTTTTCCCTGCTGAATGTCTGCATTTAGGGAAATGAAAATGTTTCCCCTTGTCACAGTAGCCAAACAAGAGTATTTAATCTGCTCTATTCAGTCTGTATGCTGAAGATATCATACAGATTAGCTGGGTCGGATTCAGAGGAAGGCTGAGTTAGAACTGGTGAAAGAAACATTAGTAATTGAAAATGGTATGTTACTGGCAGGAAAGAGTAGTAATGTGCAATGAGGTGCTGATGAAGATACATGAGGAAAGTGAAGAAGCAGGATTAAATTGAACATTTAGAAGACAAAAACATAACTACAGTGGTGCCTCGCATTATGACATTAATTCATTTCAGCGAAATCGCTGTAGAACGAAAACGTAATGCGAAAATAAAAAACCCGTTGAAACGCATAAAAACCTGTTTAATGCGTTCCAATGGGCTAAAAACTCACCGTCCAGCGAAGATCCTCCATAGGGTGGCCATTTTCGGTGGCTGTCTTAAGAGGAATCAGTCCCAGAAAACAGCGGGGAGCCATTTTATTTACCTGGTGGCCATTTTGAAACCGCCGATCAGCTGTAGGAAAATTGTCGTTCCTGAAGCAGGGAACCGATCATCGCAAAGCGAAAAAAGCCTATTCAGACTATCGTTTTGCAATCGCAAAAGCGATCGCAAAAACATCGTTGTAATGCAGTTTCGTCGTAATGCGGGGCAATCGTAAAGCGGGGCACGACTGTACAGAATAATTACTTAACTTTAATGTTGACAAGGAAGAAATAATTGTTTTCAGATTTTCTTTACCTCAGTTCAGTCATCAGTGCAACTGAGACTACTGCCAAGAAATTAAAAGACTGAGACCTGGAGGGGCAGCTATGGGGGAACTAAAAAAAATCCTTATGTGTAAGGATGTGTCACTGGAGACTAAAGTCAAGATTATCCATAGTTTAGTATTCTTGATTATATGCACTGGTGTAGAAGCATATTTTATTGTATGCAAAGCAGTGCAGCTGAACTGTCCACATTCTTTAGCTGAGTGTGCAGGTGTAGCTAAGAGAGTGTTGTATGGTGGAAGGGTAGCCAACAATTAATAGCAAATTTTGAAACACCTTCCTCTGAACTTTATATTAGTTTAGCAAATCATACTTTAAATTAGAGATGGGCATGAATCTCTGGTTCAGCAGTTCAGCACGGTTTGTTTACCAGCCCAACGGATACTCTGCGGTTTGGTGCCAAACCCCATCTGGTGGGTGCCCACTCGAAAGCAGCACCTGGAGGAGGCTGGGCAGGGACATTGGGGTGCTGTCTGCAGCTGAGTGTCCGGTGCAGGGGGCAGGGCACTGAACTGTGCAACCCCTGTTGGGCCAGTCAGGGAACCACACCAAAACTGCAGTTCATGTCCATCTCTGCTTTAAACCTTCAGTTTTCCGTTCTTTGATAAGGAAGCATTACAGAAGCATTTTCTGTAAAAGAACATTTTGCCATTGTACAGTTTGTTGCGAGCCACATGAGAATTCTCTTGTATTCCAGTAGTATATAGATGTGAGTTGACTGAAGTCACTGATGGAATATTTTAGCTTCTCTAGCAAAATGGCAACGTATGGCGGAAGAAACAAGACATGATTTACTTCTTTTTATTGGGAGTATGTATAGTTAAGCCTTCATTTTCAAAGAAGACTGTTTCCATCAGATTTACCATGAGTTATGGCTGAACACTAGTGTAACGTGGCTGAGCCACTCTGAGGTCACCTCCTACTCAGGCCTCTCAGAATGCCCACCACGCCACTAAACACTCTTGCTGCCACCAACCTTTCCTTTAAATCAAAAGGACAAGGGTTTCTTCAAACAAAATAAAGTATTTATTGATTTGTACAAAATAAAAGGAGTAAATCATTGGTATAGAATCAAGTTGTCAATCACGGTTACTAAAATACTAACTCACACAGACTTTCCCTCACTGACACTCAGGCATGCAGGTCCCTTTCTCTCTCAAACCAGACCTCTCCAGATCTCACTCTCTCACTCAATCAATCTCAGTGTCTCCTCACACTCTCTTCACCCCCCTTTTTATACCAGCTCATTCCCTTCAGTTCCACCCTCCGTCGCACCATTGGCTGATGATTCACTGCCCAGCTGTGACGGACAGGTGAGGGCAGGGCTGAACGTTACAACTAGCATGTTGATAGATGCACGGGTGACTGAAAAGTCCACTGCGAGCCAGGATGATAAGGGAACAGTGGGTGCAAGTTAGCTGGTCCTGGACTCTTTGGGCTGTGGAGATGTTACATTCTTACATCTCGATTCTCTCTTCCTTTGTTCATCCTTGATTCTTTTCATTTTGAAATTTCCATCCTTTTCTGCAGTTGGTTATATTGTAGTTAACATACCGTGTTTCCCCGAAAATAAGACTGGGTCTTATATTAATTTTTGCTCTAAAAAACACATTAGGACTTACTTTTAGGGGATATTTTATTTTACAGTCATGTCATCTTCTGCTGGTTGCTGCAGAATGGTGGAGGGCAGGGTTTCACTTAAATGGGGCTTATTTTTGGGGGTAGGGCTTATATTACGAGCATCCTGAAAAATCATACTAGGGCTTATTTTCAGGGAAACAGAGTAAAATCTATTGTAGTTACATTGTTTTGTGAGAAATTGTATCAGAACAGTTTTTTTTATTATTTCACACCTGTAGCTAGAGGAATCTTAAACCAGGTGCTAATATTCTCCATGCCTCATGACAATAGAGGGGGAAAAGCTGTTTTTTCATAGTAACAATTTCCTTCTGTTCCTAACTTTTATTTCAATTTCAAATTTCAATTTTGCAACGTAGACCAACATTTATTTTGGGATATATCCAACAGATATCATTTAAAGAACTTGTGTGTGTGTGTGTGTACGCTTTGTTTTAGGCGGGAGGCACAACTGGATGAAGAAGGACAGTTTCTAGTCAGAATTATTTATGATGATTCGAAAACATATGATTTGGTTGCTGCTGCGAGCAAAGTCCTGAGTGAGTAAATCTTGCTTTCCTTAGCATTAACTGTTAAAAGAAAACTGAAGTTCAAAATATGAGGTGTCACCTCCTATGACATATATTAATGCATCTCTTGATCTATAGATTGCAATGCAGTTATGTTTATATAGGCCCAAGAAGAATTACATGCTTCCTTTCCATATTACTACCATCATGCTACGGACGGGAATATTTCACAGGCAAAAATAAGGGTAGACCCCAGTGGCATCAAGGGACTTTTCCCTCCAAATACAGATAGTATACAGGGAGAAATTTCCATTGGGGGAAAATGCAGCAGAAGAGAAAAGGGTTAAATCTGAATCCACTATCTGTGATGGTAAGAATAATCAGCAAATTCTGGGATTGCGCAATACCTAAAGTTGAATCATCTAAAGTTAATAAAGAGTTATTAGCACTCCCTCAATTACCATAACAAATACAAATACAGTGGTGCCTCGCTTAGCGACGTTAATCCGTTCCAGAAAAAACATTGCTAAGCGATTTCATCGCTAAGCGAAATTAAAAAGCCCATAGAAACGCATTAAAACGCGATTAATGCGTTCCTATGGGCTAAAAACTCACCTTTAAGCAAAGATCCTCCATAGGGGCGGCCATTTTCGCTGCTTCTTAAGCGAGGAAACACAGCGGGCGGCCATTTTGTTTTTCTGGCGGCCATTTTGAAACTGCCGATCAGCTGTTAAAAAAGGGTCACTTTGCCATGATAGGGACCATGTGATCATCACAAAGTGAAAAAACCCCATAGGGACCATCGCAAAGCAATTGCTTTTGCGATTGCAAAAACTCCATCGCTAAGCAATTTCGTTGCTCAACGGAGCGATCGCTATGTGAGGCACCACTGTACATATTAAACAGTTTGGCCAAAATTATTGACAGCAGCAACCACAGGAATTCAATGGCTGAAATCCTTTTGTTTCATACAGTAAGTTGCAACTAGAGTAAGCCTACTGAACCAGTTGAATTTACAGAGAGGTTGACTTACCAGATCCCCATTGATTTAATGGGACTACTCTAGTTGTGATTTCTTGTGCTCAACAACTGGATTTTAACCAATGTATAATAAATCTTAGGTTCTTAATGGTTGAATAAAGGTATCACCTGTTCCTGCATGTGTCATAAATCTCTAGTCTTTCCTCAAGGAGGAGAGCTATGGTATATAAGAGGTCTTACAAAGTGTAGATTAAGACACATTTGTATATAGAGCAGAATTTTCCTGTGATATTTCTTTTACTGAATTTTCAGACTGTTATTTAAATTTGTTGCAAATTAAAAAGGACATGAATGCCTTCTAAAGGGAAATTTAGGAAAAGGTTTGTGCTATTTCGTTAAAAAAAAGCATGGATTTGTACGTACACCTCTCAGTGATAATCTTTGGGGGTGCATGCTCCTGGAGCATTGCTTGTCACATTTGCATTTTGTACCTCCTCCCCAAGCTGAAATAACGTTGTTAGAAAGCATTTAAAGCTGAATTGGTTGCCCAGGAGGTGAATGGGGAGGGGCAGTGCCGTCTGGAAAAAAAAACCCCAAAATTCTCCATGTTTTCTGCAGACCTCAATGCTGGAGAAATCCTTCAGATGTTTGGAAAGATGTTCTTTGTGTTTTGCCAAGAATCTGGTTATGACACCATCTTGCGTGTGTTGGGATCAAATGTCAGAGAATTTTTGCAGGTAGGCTCTGGTGTTGTGATGTCATGCATGAAATGCAATACTCTGATGCATGTCTACTCAAAAGCAAGTCTGCCATATTCAGTGGTGTTTGCTTTTTTGCCAGGTGCCCAAGATTGTAAGGTAAGAATCCAGATCCTGAAGAAAAATTGACTACAATTATCCTTTTAGATAGCAATGCTTGCTTTGTTGCATAAGCTACTTATCAATAATCTGTCCATTCAATTCCTATTTAAGAACAAACGCAACACACTCAAGCTTAGGAGTAAGCCCATTGAATTCAGTACAAATTGCTTGTAAGTAACAATGTATAAGATTCTGTTGTCATTTAGAAACACCTACCTACCAATATGTGTGTGTTGTTTCTAGTTAAGGCTGCAGTTGTAAACTGAGTTGCAAAAGGTAAGACAGTTTGACTTTGGTGACACTAAAAAAAACTTAAAGTGATGGAGGAACACTATTTTAACATATAAATTAAGCTGAATTTATTATCCATCATATATTTTCTTTAATTCTTGGGCAGGGGGAGAAGGAATAGCCTTAATTTCCTTTGATGAGACTTCAAAGAATTTCAAACTAGTGTTCTAATTATCAGTTACATATTGTTCTGAATCTTGGGAGACATGATATTACTGATTTATGGGTGCTACAAATTTGCCCAAAGACTCCAAGCTAACTAGAGTCCCATATTCGTGACCTGTTTATGAAATTACATGAGTAGATTATGATATTTTAGTTTACACATCCAGGTTTATACCTACATAATATATTTAAAAGATATAGCAGGCACTTAAGTTTTTGAACATTTTGGAAGATGCTGATTTAAAGAATGTGCTTTTATTTCAGACAAACAGACATGAAAAGTCTATTTCAAATGAGCATAAAAAGAGATCAAAGATAATTAGCCTTTTAAAAATATTCATTTTCTCTTTTCTGTGCAGTGGGAAGCTGAAAATGTTGTTAACGGCAGTACAAAACAGCATGTGAAAGAGAGATGGGTAGTAAATAGTTGCAACTTGAGATGTCTCGAGGGTACTTTTAATGCTAAAACTACCCTCCCTAAATCAATCAGACAGAAGTGGTGGTTAATCTAAAGTACTTCAGGGAGTTCTTTGTTTATTTACTCATGTTTTAAAAACAGCAACACAGTACTGTATATGTTCTGCAACATTTTATAGCACTAGAAAAGATTGCATACAAAATATGCTTGCCCATATGCTCAATCACGTATGCTTGTGTTTTAAAGTGCCATATGCGGCTTGGAAAAGCTCCTTTTGGACTAAAACTTCCAGAACCCACCAATCAGCATGCCTGTGGGCCATGCTGGCTGAGCGATTTGGGGAGCCTAAGAAAGTAACTTTTCCGATCTATATAGAGCACAAGCTCATCTAGAGCCAAGAAACACCTTAGGATCTAGGGGATGCAAAAGAGGGCAGAGTTCCTGTACTTCAGATAGTTGTGTAGGAGAAAGAATTGAAGCAGGAGCAGTTTGTCATGCAAGCTGGGAAAGTGCAGACAGCTATGGGAAGGACACCTGCTTAAACTCCTTTTTGTGCATAATGGTTAATGGTGTAGGATCTCTGGTTTCCTTGGCATTAGGCTACCCCCCTAGGGGTTGTCAGCTTCCAGATGTTGGGGGCCACATCCATTCATGACCTTGAAAGTTCCCAATTAAAAAAAATATTTAAAAAAGAGTACAGTATTTCCTCTCTATAGGGTCCTTCCAGGTCTGCATTTCTAAGATGATGGCATGAACTAATTAAAAAAAAATTACTACAAATTTTAAAAAAAATTACTAAAAAAAAAAGAGTACAGTATTTCCTCTCTATAGGGTCCTTCCAGGTCTGCATTTCTAAGATGATGACATTAAATTCATAATTTCAGACTTTTGATTAAATTTCACTTGAGTACAGATTTAATCCATACCTATATCATTTATGCTATATAACCCGTGCATCTAGTCTTTCATCAGACAGTAAACTTTTCCTTAAGTTGTTTTAATGTAGTTGATCACAAACATAATTTTGATAAACCGAAGAGTATAATCACAGAGTGTCTTGGTGTCTTATCTGATTTTGTTGAACTACTGTACTATGTGTTTTCCTTTTGGTTCTTCCAACATTTCATTTCAAATTAAAGTACAGTTCTGTGAGGGGAAAAACTATCTTGATGAAAATGTGAAACAAATAAATAAAGGAGGAGGTTTTGGACTGAGTAAACCCCAGGAATTAATTTACAAGGCACTCATTTCCTTTGGATATCTCCCAATAGGAGAGGCAGCTGTTAAGGCTTTTCATAACTCACAGGAGATGGAAGTCCAAGCTATTTCTAGATTATTGAAGATCTGCAGATGCTAAGGGAGGGCATGATACAACTTGCACTTATAAAACATCTCCATTCTTTGGTATCTAACAAGACCCAAATGCTAGCAAAATTTGGCATTAGAAGAGTGGAGAAGGAATTGAGGAAAGATGTAACAGTGCTTGGTCTATTGGATAGAAAGACAATTGTGGTAGACATTTTGTTCAAGCAGTTACTTTGTTCCACTTGCCACTTTTCTATAGAAGCAGAGAATTGTTAAGTGTATGTATGGAAATATATAGGATTGGAGTATATATTTGATTTTCCTAATGCTCCCTTGTCACATGAGTTTTTTAAGATCCATATTTAATAAGATTTAAACACTTTGTTTGGAGGTATTGGACCACATTTAATTGTTTATGAAAGGAGTTATAAAGCACCAACTGCATTTTGGAAGTAAAAGTGTTGATGTCAACTGGATGCTAGCTTTTCACTGTTGTCAACTAATCTCCCTGCAGAATTTAGATGCTCTCCATGACCATCTTGCTACAATATACCCAGGCATGCGAGCCCCATCCTTTAGATGCACTGATGCAGAAAAGGGGAAAGGACTCATTTTACATTATTATTCAGAGAGGGAAGGTCTCCAAGACATTGTCATTGGAATAATTAAAACAGTTGCTCAGCAGATCCATGGCACGGAAATCGATATGAAGGTAAGTTGCAAAGTATAGTCTCATCAGTGTCACAACAGCAATATAGTGAAGACAATTTAAGACAATATAGTGTCTTAAAATTATTATTTTCCTGCCAGATTTTCCAGTTTTATTTTTAATAGGAACGGATTCATTCCTGTTTCAAGAGTGGGGTGAGATAAATTAATTGCCTCCACTCCTTTCTTTTACAGTCCCCTGCTATATTTTATGACGTTAGGGGGTTGCTAATCCCAAACTTGAATATTTTATAGTTATAATTTGGGAGGTGGGGGAAACACGGCTTTGTAGCTGGGCCAGGAATCTTCCTGATAATAAACTCTGTAGGAGCTTCAGCAGACTAATCCCTTCCTTCTAACCTCTCTCTGCTGCCCCTGCTGCCCCCCCTTGTATTGTTTTGCAACTGACTCATGACCATTCTGTGTCTCAGAATGCTCTCTTTCACAGCCATAATTGACAGACTGGCACAGCTTGGCTGACCTCTTGTTTTGTGTTTTGCTGTAAACCTTCTCTCTGTTCTATCCCTGGAGTCTTAAATATGATCAGTATTCTGTAAGCACACAGCTTTCTGTCAGGCCATTCTGCCATCCTTTCATTTCCAAGCTTACATCTTGCTTTGCAGTTAGAGTGTCCTCTGTACAGGTAAATGTCACTAACTTTTTTTAGTTTTGTTTTCAAACCCATTTATTAGAATAACCTTGAATGTTCGACAGCTGAATGCATATAACAGAATTCTGTCTATAGTGAGATAAATAATAATAATCTGCTTTTCTTTTGTTAGACCCTTTGATGAGTCCTATAGCAATGGGAGCCTGCTCTTTTTTGGCAGGGGCTTTTAAAATTTGGGTGTGTGTGAACATCTGATTCCTATTGTTTTTAATTCCTTTTTCAATGTTACATTTGGGGTGGCTGGGGAAAAAAGGAGAAGTCAGTGGTATTTCTTGATTATTTAGGCCCAACATTTTAGTCATACATTTGTAAAATTCTTTGTTTCTTTGATTTTCATTATGTCTATATTATAAAGCACTTCACAGTTTGTATTTTATGAAACAGTTTAGGAAGCACTCTCAGTAGCCCCATCTGCATGCCTATCCATACAATTATTCTTATCAAGTACTTTGGCCATCTCATGAGAAGAGACGACTCCCTGGGAAAACTGGGAAAGCTTTTGCAAGGAGGGGACTATATCCTATCTGTGCAGCCTTTTAAGCCCCTGTCTTAAAGACAAGAGGGCCTGGCGTGCTCTGGTCCATGGGGTCACAAAGAGTTAGACACTACTAAACAACTAAACAACAACAAAGCCCCATGTCTTAAAGGGGCAGGCCCCATCCACTGCAAGATGTTTTTCACTGATCTGCTCCAGCCCCTGAACAGTTGATGTGCTCCTCAGGAGTTTTCTTCCAGGGAATAACATTCTAGGATTAGAATGTGCAAACAACATCTTCAAGAGGAGTTAAGAAAACTACAGTTTTCACCCCATATATGGCAGTATAATCTGTCCAGAGGATGAAAATAAAGAAGTAGAGACTTACAGAAGGTGAATCAATTCAGAAGCAGAACTGCAGCATCAGTGCAGAGTAGCTGTAATAATAAGCTTGACCAAAAAAAAAAAAAAAAAGCAAAGCAGAGGATCCACCACTAGTTTCTAAAGGGTAGGTAATATGGGAACTTCTCATTGACCATAACCATACAGGCCAGTATCCTGTTCCTAGTCTCAACTAGAGAGAATAAGCATTAAATCAATTGCTGAATGGTAGGTCAACATTTATGTAAATCTTCTTGAGTCAATGGGTCTACAATAATTGATCTAGCAATAGGATACTGATTACATGGCTAGAGCCATTTTGGAAGTCAGTAGCAAATCTTATTCATTGCTCAATAATAATAGAGCTATAAAATACAAATATAAATCAAAGAGATTGAATTATCCACAATGTTTTCTTTATTGTTGTTCAGGTTATTCAACAAAGAAATGAAGAGTGTGATCACATTCAATTTTTAATTGAAGAGAAGGAATCTAAGGAAGAGGATTTCTATGAAGATTTGGATAGATTTGAAGAGAATGGTACCCAAGAATCTCGTATCAGTCCTTATACTTTTTGTAAGGCATTTCCTTTCCACATTATATTTGACAGAGATCTAGTTGTTACCCAGTGTGGCAATGCAATATACAGAGTCCTTCCTCAGGTGAGAAGTCTTGTTTTTTCCTTTCAAATATCCAGACAGTATAAACTTCAGAAGGTTCTTCTTGCTTTTTCTCAGAGTAGTTTTGTATGTCCACACTAACCCTCAGCAGGACTATCAACATGTGACTAGTCACATGAGGACAGTTATCAAGATGGTACAACAGAATAATTAATTGCCTTATGTGCTAATGTTATGGGGCTATGGCAGTCTAGAGGAGCCTCTCCCAAATGCTTTGAACTTCAATTTCCATCCACTCTAGCCAGAGTGTTCATTTAACCAAACTCCAGCATACTTATATCACATTAGTCAACAGATTAATTTTCTGTAACTGCATTTCATTTCTTAAGCTGCATTTCTTGAACTGCTTTGTTTTAACTGATTGCCACAAACTTGTTTACTTAACATTCATTTTTAGAATGTATTAATTACTTGTTTCATTAACTTTACTGAGCAGCCTTTTCAGATCATCTGAGCTGTCAACTTGTAATACTGTGTTATCTACATATATGAAGTTGTTGATAATCCCTTGGTGAAATAGTGTGCGGTTCTCAAAAGATTTTCCTGGGGCAGAACAGTGGTTCCCAACCTTGGGTAACCATGGTGTTCTTGGACTGCAACTCCCCTTAACCATGGCCAGCACAGCTAATGGTGAAGGCTTCTGGGAGTTAACAGTCCAAAAACAGCTAAGTTATCCAAGTGTTGAAACCACTAAAGTAGAGATTGAAAGTGGGTCCTAGATCGAATCAAGCCTGAAATATCTCTGGAGGCAAAAATGTTGAAACTGAGGATGTCCTTCTTTGGACACATCATGAGAAGGCAATATTCTCTGGAAAAAAAACACTAATGCTAGGAAAGGATGAAGGCAGCAGGGGGGAAAAGACTAGATATGAGATGGACTGACTCTTGTAAGCTTGAGCTTACAAGAGCTGAGCAGGACAGCTGAGGAGAGGACATTTTGGAGACAGCTCATTTATGGGATCACTGTGAGTTGAAGGCAACTGGATGGCACATAGGTAAAGGTAAAGGTTCCCCTTGACAGTTTTTGTCCAGTCGTGTTCGCCTCTAGGGGGCAGTGCCCATCCCCGTTTCCAAGCCATAGAGCCAGCGTTTTGTCCGAAGACAATCTTCCGTGGTCACATGGCCAGTGCGACTTAGACACAGAACGCTGTTACCTTCCCTCCGAAGTGGTCCCTGTTTATCTACTCGCATTTGCGTGCTTTCGAACCGCTAGGTTGGCAGGAGCTAGGACAAGTGATGGGCGCTCACTCCGTCACGTGGATTCGATCTTACTACTGCTTCGTCTTCTGACCCTGCAGCACAGGCTTCTGCGGTTTAGCCCACAGTGCCACCACGTCCCTTTGGATGGCACATAGCAACAAAAATAAGAGCTTGAAAATCAACAGTGGATGGCACATAGGAACAAAAATAAGAGCTTGAAAATCAACAGTGGGAGAATGTAACCTTGTCAGACTCTTTATCATATTGCTGTGTGTCATCTAGTCTTCAACTTTTGCTTGAGCAATTAGTTGTCACGTATGGGTCTCTGCTTTTTATTGAACATAAGCAATTTCAAACATATCAAGTGAAATTTATGATTTGTGTTGTATTTATATTTCAGCTCCAGCCTGGATACTGTAATCTGTTGTCAGTGTTTTCATTGGTTCGACCTCATATTGATATTAGTTTCCATGGGATCCTCTCACATATCAACACAGTATTTGTGTTGAGAAGCAAGGTAATCTAAATACTGTTCACTTGCCATTTTTCAAGAAGTAATCGTGCTGTACTTGAAGTAAGAACAGAATTTCTACACTTTGACATTATTTTGAAATACTGTAAATAAAAAACCTTTCTTCATTAAATTCTTAAAACATTTCTGTTTTGTCCCTCCATGAAAAAACAGAAGTAAACATTTGATTGTGGAGAATTTGTGGGAGAATAGGAAGAAATACACCCTTAAGTGCGGCATGTCTAGTTGAAGTTATGACTTTTTTCTTTATAAGGAAGGTCTGTTGGATGTGGAGAAACTGGAGTGTGAAGATGAATTAACTGGCACAGAAATCAGTTGCTTACGTCTTAAGGGTCAAATGATCTACCTACCTGAAGCAGATAGTATTCTCTTCCTTTGTTCTCCAAGGTAAACAAACAAAATTTGTCTGTATTGCAGCTGCATTATTTAAAAAAGCACAAAAAACCAAACCAAACCAAACCAAAAACAAAAAAAAACAAAAAAACACAAAAAAACAAAAACAAAAACAAAAAAACAAAAACCACTAATTCTGCAGTCTTCTGGTCCAAGTACGTAGTAGTCATGATGTAAAGGGGATGCATATCCTTTTTTTTTTACTTTGAACTGGTCATATTGATGACTCCAATTTCTATCAGACTAGTGATATTTGGTAAGGAAAATACAATCCCTTCCTCTTGACATGGTTTCCATGATCTAAATCCCATTAACAAAGTGCTGTTAGTATCACTGTTGGTGTAAGGGGAAAATACCAGTACCTGTGTTATTTGTTTGTTTGTTTAGTGAAGCTACTAGGGTCTTCAAGAAGGGATTCAGGGAGCAATCAGATGGGCATTTAGCTTGCTGTTTGATAAGCTGTGGAGATAGGTTTGGTGTTTTTTTTTTCAGTAATCATAAGACATAGTCACTGAAGTGAACCAAATGGTCTCCAGAGCATTCTGACCAACACCTATCTGAGTCACTATCAGGGGCTTCAGTGGTTTTGTTTCTTTATTTGTTTGTGGGAGTAGGATTGCTGTAGTTTGTTTTATTTTCAGCATGTGCACTCACTGGAAACAAACCAAAGGTGAGCCTTCTGATTGTCAAGGTTCCTTCCAGTGGGAATTTTCAACATGGTGAAGTGGCTTAATAAGAGAGCCACTTCAGGATACTGATAAATTAAACACTTCCGCTGCTCCCTGGTGGAGGAAGTGAAAAAAAAATTAAACTCATATTGCACTTATTCCCAACCACAATTGACCTTATTGAGCTTGCACTAGCCCAATCCAAAACAGCCCATGTGGTCTAGCCCTCAGATTTGAGATTGCTATAGTGAAAATGGTTAAACGTATATCCTTTCACCTGTTACTCTGGTGAATAACCCGAATATAAATATTCTGCATCTGTCTCTTTGCTTCCTCTTCTCTACAACACCTATTGCCACATGAGCCATAAAGTTATGTGTGTCTTGTATTAACATCTCATTTCTTTGCTTATTATAGTAGAATAACATCAAATGATGCATGTGTCCATAGTTGGAGACTGAAAGTGCCCCACCACCACTAACAACCTGCTCTACATTGACTTTGCTTAGTGGACAATCTTATAGTAGAATAACATCAGATGATGCATGTGTCCATAGTTGGAGACTGTGAAAGTGCCGCACCACCACTAACAACCTGCTCTACATTGAAATAAAAGAGCATATAGATGAAGACCAATCTGTGTTGTGCCTTTTAGGAACATTCTGACCTGCTCTGTCCCAGAGTTTGTACATTATAGGAACAAACAAAGTGGACAATCTTATAGTAGAATAACATCAGATGATGCATGTGTCCATAGTTGGAGACTGTGAAAGTGCCGCACCACCACTAACAACCTGCTCTACATTGAAATAAAAGAGCATATAGATGAAGACCAATCTGTGTTGTGCCTTTTAGGAACATTCTGACCTGCTCTGTCCCAGAGTTTGTACATTATAGGAACAAACAAACATCACAAGGATTGAAGGGAATGCAAATGACATGCTGGGGGAGGGCTACATAGAATGCTAATTGTATGACCTATCCATTCAAAGCCTATGCAACAGCCATCCTTCCAAAGTCCCTGTGTCTCTTCCCTCTCCTAATAATGTAATAATATTTCAGTCATCGTTTAGTTGTTCATTCATGTCTGACTCTTTGTGGCCCCATGGACCAGAGCACGCCAGGCCCTCCTATCTTCCACTGCCTCCCGGAGTGGTGTCAAATTCATATTGGTTGCTTCGATGACACTGTCCAACCATCTCATCCTCTGTCGTCCCCTTCTCCTCTTGCCTTCACACTTTCCTAACATCAAGGTCTTTTCCAAGGATTCTTCTCGTCTCATGAGATGGCCAAGTATTGGAGCCTCAGCTTCAGGATCTGTCCTTCCAGTGAGCACTCAAGGTTGATTTCCTTTAGAATGGATAGGTTTGTTCTCTTTGCAGTCCAGGGGACTCTCAGGATCCTCCTCCAGCACCACAGTTCAAAGGCATCAATTCTTCAGCGGTCTGCTTTCTTTATGGTCCATCTCTCGCTTCCATACATCATTACAGGAAAAACCATAGATTTGACTATGTGTACTTTTGTTGGCAAGGTGACGTCTCTGCTTTTTAAGATGCTGTCAAGGTTTGTCATCGCTTTCCTCCCAAGAAGCAGGCGTCTTTCAATTTCATGGCTGCTGTCTCCATCTGCGGGGATCATAGAGCCCAAGAAAGTAAAATCTGTCACTGCCTCCATATCTCTTCCCCTTCTGTTTTCCAGGAGATGATGGGACCAGTGGCCATGATCTTAGTTTTTTTGATGTTGAGCTTCAGACCGTTTTTTGCACTCTCCTTTATTTCAGTAAAGTCCAGTAAACCTGAGCCAAATGAGCAGCCAAAGAAAATATTCCAGAGTACAAAAAGACAAAAGTGCACAATCAATGATGTATTTTTTTCTCTTTGTCCTGCAACTTCACGATATGGCCAATGGAGTGGCTGCCAGAGTGCAAAATGACCTCAGTGGTTAGAGTGTCTGGGGGAGGGATCTTGGGATTTATTGGAGGGTTCAACTGTCACTCACTTTTTCCTATTATGTCAGTAGCTCAACCTGCTGCCTTCCTTTCTATCTCCCCTTTCCTCTCCTCAAATTTCTGCCCATTTTTCAACCTGATGATTGCCAAATATCATAGGAAAGATCCTCTGTGGTTTTGCTCCATTGTGGGGATTAACAGTAGTTCCTTGCTCTGTCCCCTAATTGTCATGGAATCACACAAATGCCCCTGATTTGGTCTGGGTTTGGACATATATCCAAAGAATGTGTGCCTTGTCTGTAGTAATTTTTAATCATTTTAAAATAAAGTTATATGTAGAAGGGAGGTGATGTTACCTTTCATCCTGTGCTGACAGGACAGAAAAATGGGGCATTATTTCCTGTATATTATATAATGAAAACGAAACCTTTTAGTGTATTTTGGCAATTTAAAAATAATCACAGGGCAAATAAATGAGTACTATTTATTCTTGTCCAATACAACTTCCATCAAAACATTTTTCCCATTGTTTTCTTTGTGTTACAGTGTGATGAATTTAGATGACTTAACCAGAAGAGGGCTATACCTGAGCGACATTCCACTACATGATGCCACCCGTGACTTGGTGCTTTTGGGAGAGCAATTCAGAGAGGAATACAAGCTAACACAAGAGCTGGAGATACTAACCGACAGGCTCCAGCACACATTAAGAGCACTGGAAGATGAAAAGAAAAAGACAGACACGTAAGGCTTGATCTCCCAACTTTAAGCAAAAATATGAAAGTAGTGAGGTGATTTCTCTGTTATGTGCCGTAAGCTGAAGATTCACAAATTCCTCTTATTAGAAATGGACACACACACACACAAAAAAAATAACCAGGAAGTTTGTTAAAAATTGCTGGTTTGTTGGTTCGGGTTGGTTTGGGCTAGTCAAAATTGATGAACCTGAACCAACACAAACCACAAACTTTTAAAACCATTTAACAGATTTCCTGGTTTGTTGTTATGTGCCGTAAGCTGAAGATTCACAAATTCCTCTTATTAGAAATGGACACACACACACACAAAAAAAATAACCAGGAAGTTTGTTAAAAATTGCTGGTTTGTTGGTTCGGGTTGGTTTGGGCTAGTCAAAATTGATGAACCTGAACCAACACAAACCACAAACTTTTAAAACCATTTAACAGATTTCCTGGTTTGTTCCCCCCCGTTCAGGTTCCCCAGTTTGGACAAACCCAAACTGATTTGGATTAACAAATTAGCGGTTTTCAATCAACTTGCTGGATCGTTGTTAGCTTGGTGCCCATCTCTAGTTTCAACATATACAGAAATCACTTTCATCAGAAGAGGGCATACTATATTAACAGTTCTGTCGTCTACATTTTTTTCTCAGAAGTAAGTTCCATTTAATTCAGTGATGCTTGTAGACAAGCAGGTAGAGAATTGTGGGTCAGTTTGCTGAATAAAAAGGGTGTTTTGATCTATTCCAAATCAAGGAGAACTGCAAGATCTTTGAAGGAAATGTGTCTGGTTCAGTTGTTCTCTCCCCTTCTGATCTTTCTTATCTCCTTTTTTCCTTCTCTCATTAACTTTTATGTCTAAGTCTTCAACACTAATGCTTGTGTAATGGGGTATAACATACCCCCACAGCCCACATTATTTGAGCTTTCAAAATAGTAACATGTTTATCTGATTTAATAGTCTGAACTACCAGATACCTTATTCACCATCAAAAATGCAGGAAAACAGATGGTCCTGAAGACATGTAATCAATCTACAGTATATGCAATTTAGAATCTTGGCTCCTCTTAGGATTTGTCTTTGGAATAAAAAATATTCTGCTTTGTGGGAAAGACAATAAATAATGTATTTCAAAGTAGACCCTTAAGCTGATTTGCTGCTTTTTAATCTCTACTGAAATACCAATTTGACTGAAAAAATGTGACTATTTTAGGACTGGAGGTGGTATTTTTAAAAAGCACATGTACTTGCAGGGATGTACATGTATGCCAGTGTTCAGAACTGGACCTGCGATTTGCCAGAATGAGATAGTCACTCATACAGAGCTTGAGGCACTGGCAGAGCTGCCGTCATGGCACCTTGCCCCTCATCCTTGGCACCACTACACAGGGAGAGGGCAAGAAGAAATAGATCATTTTGCATGGCCACTGGCTGCCTGGTCATCTTCAGAGCAGTGACACTGGCTGTTTGTCTACAAACAAAATCCTCCTGCTGAAATAAGGAGGTCTGTGGGTCAAAGGCATTGTAAAAATCTGTGGCCGTTCTTGGAAGGTCACAAGGCAGCACGGAAATGAAGCTTCTGAGATCCTTAAGACAAAGATAGTAGCTACTTTACTCCTAGAGCTTCCAAGCTTTCCTTTTAAGTGTTCCTTGCCTTTGGAGGGGAAGGGAGATGAAGCTTACACAGCTAGATGCTTAGCAAATATAAAGTTGCTATAAGAAAATCCTGTTGGTAGAAAATGGTAGTGATCAGCAGTGACATATCCTTATCCATTTTTAGTTTATTTATTTATTTATTATGGTCAAGTGACCAGCTCATAAAACATATTTATGGCTAAAATGTACAAAATGCCATTTAAAAATGTACAACCAGTTCATAAAACATATTATATGGCTAAAATATACAAAATGCCGTTTAAAAAAGTATACAACAGATAATTGTGTACTAGTTGTAAAATACGGGGAGAATCAAATACCAGTATCAGTAACCAATATATGTTAGAAAACAAGGAAGTGACTTTCAACAGAAAAGTGGTAAGCTTAACTTTCACTCTGGAAGAGTTGGCTTGGAATGAATTATGCATTATGTTATTACTAGAATACTTTTTGGTACATAGAGATTATAAATAAAAAATTAATTGATGGTGGCCTTTTATAAAAGTACTAAAAATTTCATGAACTCATCTTGCTTTTATGTATATCCAAACAATTCTCACTGCTTAGATGCCAGGAGCAGATAATCCTAAATGATAATTGCTACTTTTAGATAAGATAGCATATAAAGAAGTGAAAAGGTTCAGATAACAATACAAAAGAGCAGAAACCTGCAGCTGAAAAAAAAAATCAAATGCTGGTAAAAAGGCAGAGGGTGGTAAAAAAAGATGGTAAGAGAACAAAGTAATTATGATAATCATTTTTTTCATTGACTGTATTGTTACCCCATGGGAAATAGCAAATTTTTTTATAACTGTAACTCGGCTGACACTTCTTTTGTCCTTCTGTGAACTTTATGAATGCAAATGAATGCCTGCAGTTTAGGAATTATTAAGTCCCATTAATACCTTTCATCAGTGGCTGTTGGAGGCTTATACGTAGTATATAACACCCCCTGTGGTATTAGAATTGCTTTTTGAAATACACAATGACTCCTGCTTTTTCTCTTGTTCTTTCCCCTCCCCCACACCCCTTTCCATCTCTGCTTTTACTGCCGAATATCATGTAGATTGTTGTATTCGGTGCTTCCTCCATCTGTGGCCAATGAGCTGAGACACAAGCGTCCAGTTCCAGCAAAGCGCTATGATAATGTGACCATCCTTTTTAGTGGCATTGTTGGATTTAATGCTTTCTGTAGTAAACATGCCTCTGGAGAAGGGGCCATGAAAATTGTCAATCTGTTAAATGATCTTTACACAAGATTTGATATTCTGACTGACTCACGAAGAAATCCCTTTGTTTATAAGGTAAGCACCATGGTTCTGTTAGCTGTTTTAATTGAAGTTTGAAGTAGAAAATATACTGTATAATAATGAAAACATTTATAAGATGTCATATCTGCCTCTGTCTCTTCTGATTTTCTCTGAATATTGCAGTTTCCTGCAGACATAATATGGATGCAGGTTTTTGCAAGGAAAAAAAGCATTCCTGCTGAAAAAAACACATCTTAAGACAAAAATGGCTCCATGAATATCAGCTGGGGACAGACCAAGACTCTCTTGTCTCTGAAGAAGATTGATTTCAAAATGTTATCCAATGTATCAGCCAAAATCCTGTTGTGGGTCTTCACTGGGGGAAGGGCAGCAGTGTAACTTTCTTTAGCAGAATTGCCTCTAATTAACAAGTCACTGCTGGGATTTATCAGCCATCAAGCCCCCTGACAGCTGCAAGTTATGCCACCACAACCCTTCAACAGTGTTTTCACCACTTTTTGTTAGAGTAAACTATGTTTTCCAAGGGCAGTCTGCAAATTTTTGGCATGTTGCTGCTGCTTCTCTTTTTCTTCACATTCACTGATTCCAATTTGAAACAACTACATTTTCTATTGTCCTGCTTATATTGCTATGAAAGAAGTCCTATGATGAGACACAAATAATATATTTCTTACCTGCTCTTTTTTATCAGTAATAGTAGCTTGCTTTCTGATCAGAAATAATGAACACTGGTCAATATAACTGTGTTTCCCTAAAACAAAGAAGATAGAATAACTGCAGATGTAATATTTTGTTAGGTCGAGACAGTTGGAGACAAATATATGACAGTAAGTGGCTTGCCAGAGCCATGCATTCATCATGCACGTTCGATCTGCCACTTAGCATTGGATATGATGGAAATAGCTGGACAGGTTCAAGTTGATGGAGAGTCTGTACAGGTTAGTAAATGGCATTTCTTTGGCTGACAGGAAAATGTTATATGAGGCCAATCCAGCCCTTGATTTTCACAAAATACCTCAGGGACAATTTTCATACAGGTGTAGTTTTTTTTTTTTTTTAAGTGAGGCAACATGGTAGTATTGGGCACAGTAACAGAAAAGCAGATGGCTGAAGAATGCCCAGTGTGGCATAGTGGATAGAGGGACAGATAGGACCTAGGAGACCTGGGTTCAAATTCCTGTTTGGCATGAATGGGGCAGAACTAGTAAAGCCACTTCTTAGGTGTCCCACTTACCTTGAAAAGCTTATTAGTGTCACTGTAAGTCAATTTTGACATGGTAGCGCATAACAACAAAACAAGAAATACTAGTTCTTAAGCAGATAAGGTATTATTGCATACAATGTTGCTCTAACCGCTTCGAGGATGCCTTATTACTACGGAACAGTTTTGTTCAAATAGGTAGGCAATGATTGGGTAGCCACGTTGGCTAAATTACCTTCCTGCAAATGATAAACATTTCATCCATAACTTGCATAATTGTTCCTTGTGCCTGTGCAACAAAATGATACTTGAAATGGAACGTGTACATGGTAGTCTTATGAATGGTGACACACTTCCATGATGGAACAACAGATAAGTATTTCACTTAACCACTTTGCTTGAAACAGTGGTCATCTGTTTTTGGCTGTTCTTGAAACAGGTCACAGTTTTGTTGCATAGCTCTGCTGAGACAATGAAAGTGATGTCATCAACAGCAGCAGATTGCTGGTAATTAAACAGTTCCTGCTTGGATTTAAGGTTGTATGTGACTCCGTCTCATTGTGCGTGCATCACACACAACGCAAAACAGAAGCAGGAGCATTTTAAATTGGAAACCATTTACCCATGTGGTTTCTTTTTTAACTTGCAACTGTCTAGATTCCTGAACCTTCATCCTGCCATACATAGGAGGAAGACAAATTTTATGAGATTATGAGATAGGTTCTTATAATTACTACCTCAATAGTTTTGCGCTATAATCATCATCATATGCCATCAAGTCAATTCTGACTTACAGTGACTCTTTTCAGAATTTTCCAGATAGAGTATACTAAGAAGTGGTTTACCATTCTCTTCTTCTGGGGGATTCCTGAGACCGTGCAGCTTGCCCAAGACCACACAGGCTGGCTCTACTAGCAGGAGGTCCAGTGGGAAATAAAACTCCAAACCTCTGACTCTGCAGCCAGATATCGAAATGACTGACCTATCCAACCAGTTCATTTTATGCTATAGATTCTGCTTAAAGCTGTTGTTTTCAAGTACTGTATTAATATCAGTGCTTAATATATTATCTTTCCTATGTGGTTTTTTAGTCATCTGTGTAAATAAAGTAATGATTTATTACCTTGTTTATAGTAGTCTAAGCTGTGAACTGAGATGGTGTATGCAAACCCACTTGGTAATGTATTCTTCTCTCTCATTAAAAAAAGATAACCATCGGTATTCACACAGGAGAAGTAGTCACAGGTGTCATTGGCCAAAGGATGCCCCGTTACTGTCTTTTTGGAAACACTGTAAATCTGACTAGCAGAACAGAAACCACTGGTGAGAAAGGGAAGATCAATGTCTCAGAATACACATACAGGTGAGAACTGGAGTGTGCTAATTGATTATATTCTCAGCAATAGATTTTAAATTATATTTCTTATAGCAGTGGGTTAATTCTGACATTCATTTTGTGGGTACATCCTTTCTTCCTTTGAGGAGAAAGACTATGCAGAAATAAACTAAATTAATAAGCCATCAGTTTGTATAAAAACATTACTGACAGAATTTATTGTATTCATGGTTGGGATAGATGGTCGTTGACTC